TTAGCTATTCAAGAGCTCGCGAGCTTGTAAAGGATGCTTTTCGAGGTTTAACAGACGTTTCAAAGCTCAGCGTTCATAGCCTTAGAGCTGGTGGAGCCACCTCAGCAGCCAATGCCGGAATCCCTGATAGACTATTCAAGCGTCATGGTCGTTGGGCGAGCGAAAACGCCAAAGATGGCTAGGTCAAAGACAATCTTGATTCTCGCCTATTGGTCTCACGATCTTTAGGAATCTGAATTGTATGCCTTGTTTTTCTTTAAGACCTTGCCCGGCAGTTCGGGGGAGTTCTATCCATAGGGCCGGCGTTTTTCCTCAATCTTTGCTGTAACGAGCGCAGTGAGGTTTTTTCATCCTATGGATGCTCGTTGGCTCTTCCCTAGGTTCTGTTTTTTCCTCCATGCACCTATGTATTATTGCTTTGGCGTGACTCAATAAACGTGCGGCCTCTAGTTAGCACACGATAGCAAATACTGTGTTATGTTTCCTGTTGTTGTTTCGCACGGGTTAGGTGGTGATGGGAAATTTAGACGAGAGGCCAAGTTTTCCCGCTTTCCAAAATAACGCCGCTGGCCAAAGCGATAACGGGCACAATAGCCGTATATATTTTTCTTACCTTTGTCCTATGTCATATATTTATTTATTCAGTACCATATATTGACTTGGTCCATGCCATATATATGTTGCACATGACCACTTTCATAAATGGCTGCCGGATTGATATTCTTTTGTTTAAATTTAAATTAGCCTTTCTGGCCTCGTTCTCTAGTTCAAAATTCAGAAGAATGCATTATCTCAAGCGAGGCCAGTGAGGCTAATTCGAATTTAAACAAAAGAATATCAATCCGGCGGCCATTTATGAAAGTGGTGTATATATACGTAACCTTTGCATTTTATTTTTTTGGGCAGACAATATTGTCCTATATGGCACCCGATATAAATGGTCAATTAAGAATAATTATGCACGGAAAAACAAAAGGAAAATTCTGCTGCAACAAGTTGAAAAAAAAATAGTAAGTTTTCTTTCTCAACGCTGAATATCGCGAACAATCTTTCTCTCGACGGGAAAGCGGAATTTCCTGGGAAGATTTCAGAAGAATCCAGTTAACTCGAACACCCAAGAGAAACAAGAAGTGGTTCGAGTTATAAGTGATAGTAAATGACTGAAAAGATGAGGTAAAGGGAAATCGGATCTGGTTCGAGTTAATGCGGGGATTCAAGTTCGAGTTAGCTGGTTTTCATTGTCTTAAATGACCTCTTAGTTCGAGAATTGGCATGGCAGCCGGAAGGTTACTCAAGGGCTAGTGTCGAGTAACATTTTTGTTACAGAATCAAAGGAAGTCTATTCTTTAAAAAATATTGTGACTGGGATTACGTTCAGTACACTTTTTTTTTCTCTTTAATCTTCACACATTTTTGCCACAGCGTATGTTTTATCACCATTACTATTATTATTTTATCGTGTTTCACAGAAGTGTTTGTATTTAGTCAACGCTTACTCGGATAAGTAAACCTAAGATATGCGTCAAAGCAACTAATTGGCAAAATAGTGTCGGGAATATCAGTATCTGACCAACTGCACACCCACCCATCCCCTAAGCTAGTCAACAGATGACAAGTTGGGACTAGTGTTGGGTTAAGGGAGGATTACGTGCGCTATTGCTCAGACTCTGATCTGACATTGATCAGCAGGTCGTTTCTCAGAAGGGCGATTGTTAAAGCTACTGTAGGAAATCGAAAACAAATCTTGACTTTCAATTTTTTCCTCTTTTTATCGCCCAAAAAAGCGAGAGGAGGCAGGGGGATATCTACGTTCGGAAATATTCTTCATCCATGTCAATTTTTTTTTCCAATCATCTTGAGCTGCTACAGTGTCTACCATTAGCAACGGAATTTGTTTCTCATTCAATTTTGGCCACTTCCTCCATGTAGGCCGCCAAAACCTTGGTCTGTTGACAAATAGGATGACGATTAATTCAATATTACATGATACGGTCACAATGGAAGGTAACGAATTAAATTACTTCCGTTTAGCTTAATCTCAAAGATTTTTCAAATTAAAAAGTTTTCTTCAAAGGTGTTCAACTCTAAAGACTTCTTGTGTATACGAAACTTTACTACTTTTCCACTACTATAGGGTCAATGTGTGTGTGTATCGGCGTGTGTGGTTGCGATCTGCTAATATCGGGGAAAAAGATTACTGGGGAAGAAGTGCTGATGTTTTGCTGACGTTCTCCGAGGAATAGGCCCATTGGTTTGCTACGCAGGCATCCTATAAATCAGTTTAGTATAATTTCAGAGATGAACAAAGAGTTTCCAGCAATCTGATTGGTCGAGCGGTTCCTTATATGACGCTATATAAACCGCTCCACGCGGTTTATATAAAATGTTAAAATAAAATGTTAATAAATGTTACTAAAATATTATGATTTTAGAAATTTCTCTGTTGTTCATCTCTGAAATTATACTAAAACAATTATTCGCCTCAGGTTCGGTGAATATT